GGGGGAGGGGAGGTGAGCAGGAGAGCGATGGGTCTTTTACCTCCCTCCCCCAGCGGCACAGGCATCAGTGCTGCAAAAACCCGGGTCTGAAGCTAAAACTAAAGTAAACTGAAGCCTAAATTAAGTAGCAGTGTTACAACTCTGTTCCTAGTTCCTGCATGGTTCCAGGGGAAAGGGGACTCTTCACTACCTCCCCCCTCTTCCCCCCACCCTTCCCCATCCCTCTTTCTTCTCAGGATTCCGTCCTGGATCCGCCTATGAGCAAATGACAAGGTTTCGGAGATGTTGCATTTTTTAAATCACTGCGAACTGCTGTAGTAAAAATGCAGATCCACGGTATTTCGCAGAGGGAATCCTCCGGGCAGTTGAACCTTCTAGAAGGGAGTATTTGTATATTTTTCCATTGGTAGTTAGATGTGAAGGCTAATATTCTTTCCATGCTGAAGTGCTAGTACTGTCTTAAGTGATTTTTATCAAATCTTGCTCTGTAAGAGCCTTAACAAGGCCAGTAAATCGTACGGATTTCTATCTGGCAGTGCGAAGTACAGCGCGGTGATTGTTAGCCGTGTGGAAGAGTCCAGGATGAAGAAGTGGCAGTTGTTTCTTCAAAGATGGATTGTCTAAATCTCTGGGTACCATCATTGATTGCAGGTTGAAAACCAATTGAAGAATTTTGCCAAGCAAGCGCCTAATGATCGTTTTGCCGAGAAAATGAGTCCATTTTTGGCAAAAGCGAAGTCAGAATGTGAAATCATTGAAAAGGTAAATTAGCTTAATGTAAAATCTTGTCCTGCAAAACTTCCGAAATTTAAATGATATAGCCTTAACTGTTTGAGAAGCATTGATTTCTTAATATCGAAGAATGCCGATGTTCGTCGAATTTATGCTAGGTGAAAGTTTTGCCAGGCCATTCAGCCCAAATTTTCTTCCATTTGCTTTCTACATATATCATTAATCTGCACTTGCCTATCTATCTCTTTGAAGTGCGTTCTGATGCAGCTCTACATTCAGTGATACATGAGGTCCTCATCATTTCTTAGCAAGTTGCTTAACGCGTGTCGCCTGCCGTTTATACACTTTTTTCGTTGTGCTCGTCACTCTGGTCATAGGGCAGTAGTTTTTGTTCAAAATATCAAATATGCGAATCATATTTGTTGTCATTTTCTGGAATAATTTTGCAGATGCATAACACAATGAACGCAAGATGGGATTCACTGAGGAAGTATTATTCGTTCGACCCAAAGAAGTATAATTTGGAAGCGTTCTTCCGTGATTTGAAATTGTTCAAAGAGCAATATGAGGTACTTCTTAATTACTTGGTAATAGGTTAGGAGATTTTTAAATTTTTTAGTAATTTTCACGATTGTTGTGAAATGTATCTGGCACTGTCTGCTTTCGTTGTTGCGTTCGCCCGCTTCACTGTTCGTCATTCCGACTTTGTGGTTTGGCGCTTTTTTCCGACTGATCTTGTAATGGATCAGACTCTTAATGCAGCTGATTTCGAAGCTGTATAAGGCATAAACCTCATCCTCATGGATTTTTCTGGAAAAAAAATGTCCCGGTACAAATTAATTGAGAATTTTTACTTGCTATTGAATGCTTTTTCTTTGGAATGCTTGGATCAGCTTCGATTTCTATTTTGATTCTGTGTTTGTGTAAGTGGTAGCTTCTTGTCGCTGATTACTATTTCTTTTAAAATAGTGCGTGTTCCAGAAAGTAATCCATGATTTGGAAAAAGCGCAAGAAGCGAAGGAGCGTGAGGAGCAGAGGAAGCGGCGAGTACCGCTGAAGCCATTGCAACCAGGAATTACGGCATCGCCACTGAGTCACAATGTTGCAATAGAGGGAATTCTGAAGACAGGTCTGCACATTAAGTATTTTACAGAGAACTGCTAGCTGCATTAAATTACCACTTCCACAAACATGAGGAAAACGGGGAAGCTAAATTCACGCATTGAAAGAGGAGAAAAGACGAAAAAAAAGTGGCTGTCCAGCCTGGCACAAGGGAAGAAGCCAGTGTGCATTGTTAATCACTCGTCTCGAGGAGGGTCAGATTCTGGCCAGTTTCAACGAATACTACATAAACATTTTTTTTTTTGCGCGCATAGGGCGAATTTTCATTCTTTTTCAAAAAACTTTCCACTGTTCGATTTGTCGACAAGCAGCTGTTTTATTCCATTGTTTGGGCTTTTTAAATATTAGCAAGTGTAGCTTGTCATCGATTTTCTTTCCCTTTGCCACTGACCCTATTGCATCGAAATACATCGGGTCAAACAAATGGGCTGTTTTTTGCTTTAATATGGGAAAGACCGTTTTTTTTTTTTTTGACTTTGCATCGATCTATACTTCTTTGACTTCATTTTTAGTGAAATTTGGCTATCGTGCGTACAGTAGGTGAATATATAGCAGAATGTGGAGAGTTTAGAAGACCGCTACGTCAATAGGTAATCATAAATATGCATGAACATAAATTTCGATTTTTTTAAATGATCGCTTTAGTGTGGTAATTTAATGTTCAGATGCAGAATCCAAAAGTGCTGGGAGGAAGCAAGACTTTTGTTGGTCTTATAAAAATTCTATTTCAGGAAAGCAAGATTCTGGTGTTGTGGATGAGATTGAAAAAATCTTGGAGGCAGGATGTTTGGATGGAGGGGAACGGCGAACACCGAGGAGGACACCGCGCACTCGCGTTGGTAAGAAATGGCGTTTCTTTTTAGGAAACGAACACAAAATTTACGTTTCCTCAGAGGGCAATTTTACGTTTCCTCAGAATTGGGCCAGATAATACTTTGACTGCTGGCGTCCATCCTCCGCCTGAGCCTTTGATAACGTACCAGTGAGAGAAACGAAATCTGCCCACTTCCAGGCATTTCCATTTTTCACTCTCTGTGAGAAGATGTGGAGGGGCGCCTAACTGTACAGTTAAAAAATTTCCTACAGTTATTACTTACTGTTTTTTTTTTTCTTCCTTTCATTCTTTTTTTCTCTCCTTTTTTTTTCTTTTTTTCATTTCTTTCTTATAGACCCAATGCTGAATCATAATTATTATTTTATGGACATTGATGTTAATACATAGGGTGTATACATTAAAATGCTGCATACCATAACAATAAGATCGGGAGATTGAAAAGAGACGAAGGGCATAAGGTCACTGAAGGATCAGGATTCACAGCATTTGGGAGGGGTACATCAATTGAGGAGCAGCGAGCAACAGTCGAGTTTAGATTTATTTGGAA